AGGGCAAAATGTGCCAGGAATACAATAGGAATAAATGCTTCCTAGCACCCATTAGCCAAATTAAAGAAACCCTCGCCACACCCAGTGATTGTGCCAAAGTGGGAGTGTAAGTAGCTGATGTATCTGAACCATGATGAGACATATATAAAAAAAAAAAATCTGACACAGGGCTGGCAAGATGGCTCAGCAGGCAAAGCTGCCCACAGCCAAGCCTGTCAACATGAGTTTGATACCCAGGGCCTACATGTTGTCCTCAAGTTGTTCTCTGACCTCCACACATGCACCATGGCATGCACATCACACATGCGTGCATGCAGACGTACATGCGTGCACACCCACATATATACATACAATACATATTTATTTAATCTGACACTTCGGCTTATTTAATTTGGCCGTGTGGCTAGTTGCCAGTGCATTACCACTAGGTGTGGGCATAACAAAGCCTTCTCAGCCAATGTGCAGCTCGCCGTGGAAGATAACACCCAGACAGTAGAAAAGGCAGGATACAAGGGGAAACACGGGCACAGCCCGCAGTGATTACAGTCTAATACGAGCGTGTTTATGAAGCCTGTGCGTTATGCAGATCTGCTGTGTCACGCGGCTCTGGGTGAAGCCTGGGCTCTGCTTTCTGCGGCCCGGCACCGCCTGATTCTCTAAGAACCGGGTGTGTTTCTTTGAGAGAGGAACAGCAGCGCGCAGTCCAGCTCAGCTGTACTCAATCCGAGTTGCTTTCCTCCCTACAAACCCTCACTTCAAAGCAAGGAACATAATGTACAATTTTTTAATGGCTCTAGACCCAGGCACTCAGACTCTCTGCTCTGCGTCTTACCTCAGTGTAAACACCTAATCAAGATTGCCTGCGCTCCAACAATAGCAGCCAAATGCAATTTGAGAACCACAAGCCTTTGAAGTCCTCCCTGCAAAGGCCGGTTTTCTAGTCTGGGATAATGACATGCCATGATTGCTGTCTTTGTTGTATCTTTTCAGTACAGAAGCAATTATAGGCCCCAATTTAACAGAATAGACATTACACAGCTTACGATGCTCAAAATGCAATTTCATTTGATCATTTTCTCGATTTGATTGGTATTAATAGAATGGTTCACAAAAAAAAAAGAAAGAAAAAGAAAAAATAGCTGGCAGAGGTTGTGTCCCACTCCACTTTCAAAGAGCTAATGTAGAAGTATGTTTTACCTGCCCAGCAAGCTCATTGGGGTGATGCAGCCAAGCTCCACCAAAACAGTGTGCACAGAAACAGTGTGTGTCCTCCGCTCCCGGCAAAGGAAGCCACCAAGGCTCTCTTAGTAATATGTAAAGTTTTTGAAGGAACTATGTAAGCATGGCTGTCGATGGAAAATTAATGTCACAAATGATAAACCCCATCAGCTAATGCACATCCTATAGTTCTCTTTGCATTTGCAAAAGCTGGAGAATCGACATCCCACTGGCCACCTCTCCTATTCCCTCCAGGAGACATTTTCGGCCTCTTTGAGATTAAGAGAGTATCCTTGCCTGCCCGGTCAGCCTAGTTAGAATTTTTCCCTCTCTTCAACTGTGTTTCTCATTCAGAGCAGAGTTGGATTTTCCTTTAAACAAGTTGTGTTTCTGTTTAACATCATAGTAATAAGAGATATACAGTAGCCAGGCATGGACACACACGCCTAGAATCCCAGTGCTCAGGAGGCTGAGGGAGCAGGATGAAAGCCAGCCTGGACTACGACATAGCAAGACTCTGCCTCAATAAATAAATAAATAAATAAATAAATAAATAAACAAACAACACAACCTTTGAAATGATGCCAGCGATTGTTGTGAAACTTCGTATTTTGTAATTCAGGGTGCTTCTGGGAGCAGTTGTGTGAGGGGAGCCCTGATGTAGATTTGGGAAGTGGCTCTTGGCCTTTGTTGAGCATTCTAAACTTTAGACGACAGACGTGCAGAGAAAGTACTTTCCCACTGTGCGGTGGTGGCGCACACCATTAATCCCAGCCCTCAGGAGGCAGAGCCAGGCGGATCTCTGTGAGTTCGAGGCCAGCCTGATCTACAGAGCGAGATCCAGGACAGGCATCAAAACTACACAGAGAAACCTTGTCTTGAAAAAAAAAATCCCTTCTAAGCCATCTTGCCAGTCCCTGATCAACTTTCAATTATTTGAGCTTCCATATTGCCTACTTTCCATTCCTGGAGTGTGTGTGTGTGTGTGTGTGTGTGTGTGTGTGTGTGTGTGTGTGTGTGTGTGTGTAATTTCATGGACTTACTAGGGACAGATGAGGTTATACTCAAGCTAAAAGAAACACTGTTCCTTCTTGAGCTACAGATGACACACTGAGTGGAAAAGATTGAGATTGTCATCATTATCAAATATTTACTTAGCACACAATAGTCAACAAATACACTTCCTTCTTAGTATTGAACACTAGACCCCACTGGTAAACATGAGCAGCAGAGGGAGAATTTGAACTCAAGCCTGTCAGATCCGTTCCCTATGATCCTTTATTCTTGCATGTGACCACCCCGCACTCCACAACCCACCACAGGAAATTTGACAGGACAAGTGCAAAGCCCTCAAGTTACATTAAAAAACGGATTGCATCCATCCAGAAGGGGAGAGACTTGACATTTTATAGGTGGGAAGCAGACGGCAGCCACCAGAGCACAACCAGAGCAACAAGTCACAGTCAGAATGGTGAGGAATCTTGAGACAGCTACGTTAAAAAGAATGTATAGGAGAGACTTCTGAGTCAGTTGGTACCAGTGTGGATGTGCCGTCTGAAAAGTGGGGGTCACTTAATCTGTATTACTCCAAAAAGCAGAGGGATAGACAGTGTGAGAAAACTGTTTCTGTTCCTGTAAGAGATTTCTGACATGAAGGCTACTGGGTGATGGACACTCTGCTCATCATGCATGAAACAGATTGGTTTTTTTCCTCCTCTTTAACCCGTGAAAGACTTTTAGATACTGACTAGCAGAAATGGCTGGTTGGGAGTTGCAGGCATACTGGATGAGCATCTATTAGAGTCGGCATGGATGTCCTGGAGCTTGAAATGGCTTGTTTCCAGGTTCTCTCTCTACACTGAGATGGTAGATTTCTGCAGGACATTCTAACAACTACCTTTCTGTATAGCTCAGAGACATGTTTCTTGATAGGAAACAAATAGTCAGTGGAGGGTTGTTATTTTTGCATAGCTGTGATCCAAATACTTGAGAAAACAGATCAGAAAAGAAGATCTGTTTGGGCACGGTTTCAGAGGTTCATTCTGTAGTTCATTGGTTTCCGCTGATCCTGGGCTGATGGTGAGGCAGACTGTTACGGCTGCCGCATATGGAGGAAAATACTGTCTACATTGGGTAATCAGGAAGCAGACCCAGTGTGACCTTCAAAGGCACACCCCCAGTAGTTTGTGTTCTCCAACTAGGACCCACCTCCTAAAGTACCCACCTCACACCATCTCCTCATCCTCCTGCCTCAGCTTCCCAGGCATGGAATGACCGGTGTGCATCACTGCACCTGCCTATTAAAAGGAGCTTTGGGGGCTGGAGAGATGGCTCAGAGGTTAAGAGCACCAACCGCTCTTCCAGAGGTCCTGAGTTCAATTCCCAGCACCCACATGGTGGCTCACAACCATCTGTAACGAGATCTGGCACCCTCTTCTGTATACATAATAAATAAATAAATCTTTAAAAAAAAAATTAAAAGGAGCTTTGTCAGATGATTTTGCTCAACTGTGTGGGCACGTTTAAAGTAGGCTAGGCTAAGCTGTGGGGTTCAGATGGTTAGGCATATGTCCTAGTTAGGGTTTAGGTTGCTATGGTAAAGTACCATGACCAAAAGCAACGTGGGGAGGAAAGAGTTTATTTCATCTTACAACTCTGAGGTCACACTCCACCACTGAGGAAAGTCAGGGCAGGAACTCAAGGCAGGAACCTGGAGGCAGGAACTGAAGCAGAGGCCACAGTGTAATCCTGATTACTGGCTTGCTCAGTTTGCTTTCTTATACAACCCAGGACCATCGGTCCAGTAGTGGCCCTCCCACATCAATCATCAATCAATCAAGAAAATGCCCCACAGGCCAGTCTGGTGGGGGCATTTTCTTAATTGAGGTTCCCTCTTTCCAAAAGAACCTAGCTTGTACAGAGTTGAAAAAAAGCTATTCAGCACAGTGAATTAAATGCATTTTTAAAAATTGGTGATGGGTTTATCAGGACAAAATCTTCATTGTAAGTAAAGGGTATGGTATCATCACATTTCTGTTGATGGGATCAACTGATACTTTCAGTATCCTGTTCGAATAACTGTCCTAAATGTGAGTCTCCTGACCAGGCATGGAACACTTAAACCAGGAGTAGTTGGGCCTCAAAGCACCCATTCTCTCTTCACACCTGCACAAGAGAACACTCTCTTTCCATCTTCCTTGAGAGTAATCCAGGTCCCTCTAAAGATTTTTACCTCCGATTTTTCCAAAAATCTCAGGTGTTGAAGACTTGGTCCCCACCTGATGGTGCTATCAGGAGATAGTAGAAATTTTAGGAGCTGGGACTAGTTGGAACAAGTGGATCATATGGTTGTGCCCAGGAAGAGTATACTAAGATACCAGCCCCTTCCTCTGTGTCTCCTGCTTCCAGGCTCCTGTAAGGTAAACCAGTTGTGGCATCCTATGCTCCCCACCATGATATTCTACCTCACCCCAGGCCCCAAAACAACAGGCTAAGTACTGTGGGCGGAACCTTCCTCAATCATTAATGGAAATAAATGCTTCCTCCTTGATATGGTTTGTCTTGTATTTTTTTTTTTTTATCACACTGATGACAGGCTGACTCACAGAAGTGCCTGAGAACTGAAACAACGGACCCTTGAAATAAACCAAACATACATCCTGTCTTTGCAGGACTGCTCTCTAGAGTACACAGACTCGAACCCCCACGGCTGTAGGACTGAAATGAATCCACTTAGGAGGCAGTATGTGCCACTTACTGTGCTCTGTGCTTTATACTCTTAGATCTCCTACCCCATCAGAGACGCTGGCAAGATGGCTGTCCAGAATGACAAAGAGGTGGAAAACGCTTCCATGGATCCTGAGGACAAATGGCATCAGAGAGCAAAACAACTCAAGGTCATCTGCTGGAGTGTGTGTGGAGTGTGCTTCAAGGGATGCTGCTAGATATAAGTCATGTTTGTCCCTGGGTTCCTGTCACTGAAGGGTCTGTTTTATGCCTAGAATACTTACCTACCATGCTATGCTGAAGACTGCCTTCTGCCAAGGAGTGCTGTAGCTTGCATGCTTGCTCTGCCAGCAACCCTGCCTGCTTCTTAAAAGGTCCCCTGTCCCAGAACACCATCATGTCACGCTCCAAGCATACAGAGACAAAAATCTCTCACCAAACGAAGGGATGAGGGATGTGCAGGGGGGAAAACAGTATGTTTCCTCTGGGAGCCAGTAGCTACCCAGTAGACTCAGGTAACGCCGTCCCTAAAGCTGATGGAATCCCTCAGAGCCTCACCAATCCTTGTTTCCAGAACGTTCAAGCTTACCAACTGGTAACTTAGTATGATGGCATCCTTCTTGTCTGTGGATACTCGTAAGTGATTTGGAGGCAGGGGTAATTGTCCCACTCTTTCTAGAAGAAATAGGAAAATAATTAGGATCTCATCTTTTCCTGAGTCTGTCCATGGAATTATATGGAGCCATTCTTGGATCAGGTTCCACTGTTTAAGAAAAGAGCATGGTGTCATGCCTTTAATTCCAGCATTCCGGCATTCAGAGGCAGAGGCAGGCAGATCTCTGTTAGTCCGAGGTCAACCTGGTGTACACTGCAAATACCACAGAGTGAGACCTTGTTTCAAGGGCGGGGGGGAGGCGAGCCTTTTGAAATCACCAGTTAAAGTCACACATGAAGCAACTATAAAGTTTAAAACATTAAAGTCCATCCAAGCATCAGAGAAGTTAGAAAAGACAGCCATCCTCAACTCTCTCTTGTCCTCACCAGGTCTCTTGGCTGTGATAGAATTTGAAATAAGTAAATTAATAAATAGCCACTCACCTAGAGCTTCCTGAAAGCCGATGTCAGGGAGGTCACATCAAAAAGCAGAAAAGGAACTATGAACCAATGGCTGAGGGGTCCCCACTGGATCAGGCCCTCTGAATGGGTGAGACAGTTGATTGACTTGATCTGTTTGGGAGGCATCCAGGCAGTGGGACCAGATCTTGTGCTCATTGCATGAGTTGGCTGTTTGAAACCTGGGGCCTATGCAGGATTGTTTGGCTCGGCCTGGGAGGAGGGGACTAGACCTACCTGGACTGAGTCTACCAGGTTGACCTCAGTCTGTGGGGAAGGCTTTGCCCTGGAGGAGATGGGAATGGGGGGGGGTTGGGGGGAAGGTGAGGGGGACGGGAGGGGGGAGAACAAGGGAATCCGTGGCTGATATGTAGAACTGAATTGTATTGCAAAATAAATTAAAAAAAAAAAAAAAGCAGAAAAGGTGGGGACTGAAATGTCTCCTGGCAGTGGGATGTGGAGGACAGGATCCAGGACCCAACCTGAGAGTCTCGGTGTCATCGTGAAGTTTGTGTCAGATTCTTGGGCCTACTTAAGATCTTTACTTCCTGCATAAACCTTCTCTGTGGACCTTTCCTCAGACCGTATCATCCTACAGCATTCTGTGCTCTCCCGTGGGTCTTCACTTCATTGGTGTGCCCAAACTGAAGGCATCAGGTGCTCAATGGCCATGCAGGACAGAGTGTGGAAGTCAGTCCCTGGCCACAAGACCCTTCCAGGTGTCCTAGGATGAAATGAGGTCTTCCCAGATCCAAAACAAAACCACCAATGGTGACAGCGTGAGAAGCCACGTGGCTTCACTCATCATGGTCAAGCCCCTGTGGTCAGCCTCTTTGCCCACCTTTCTAAAGAGCTACGCGTATGGTCCGGTCAACACCAGCAGCAGATCTGTATTGCTTCTGTTTGTCTGACCTGACTTCTTCCTTGCTGACAATGAGGGACTTAGTTAATAATTCATGCCAGATGTTTCTTAATAATATTAGATAAAATGTGAAACCTAAGCTCACATTTTATTTATTTTTTTAATGAATTGATTTTTTAAAAAAAGTTTTCTTTTCACTTTACATACCAATCCCAGTTCCCCCCTCTCTCCCCTTCTCCCACACCCCCACCTGCCCCCATCCCACCCCCCATCCACTCCTCAGGGAGGGTAAGGCCTCCCTTGGGGTGTCAGCAAAGTCTGACATACTAACTTGAGGCAGGATCAAGCCCCTGCTCCCCATGTTAAGGCTGAACAAGGTATCCCACCCTAGGGCATGTGTTCCAAAAAGCCATTTCATGCTGAAATCCTAGACTTCAGTTGAAGAGAGGGAGGAGGGATCACGGGAGCAAGTGAGGTCAAGATCATGATGGGGAAAACCACAGAGACAGCTGACCTCAGCTGATGGGAGCTCATGGACTCTGGCCTGTCAGCTGGGGAACATGCATGGGACCAAACTAGGCCCTCTGAATGTGAGCGACAGATCTTGTCAGGGAGCCCCTGACAGTGGGACCAGGACATATTCCCGGTGCATAAAATGGCTATTTGGAACACATTTTATTTTTAACACACACAGAAGATAAACGGAATAGTACAATGGAAAGTTCTCTGGGTCAGTGGTGATCTTGGAACCTAGGTACAACTCCCAGGACCCCAGGGCCCAATCAGGACAGCTAAAAGCAGAATGGCCTCTATGTTAGAGGAGATGAGTGGCTGGTTGGAGTAAGAGTGTGCATTCTGCTTTTTGCTTATGACACACAAGCCACAAGCCAGAAGCAGCCAGACAGTGCCTTTCACAGAGCTCGAATGATTGGCACAGTGTAGGTGGACACTGATGACTAAGGATGACTCTCACTATAACACTCCCATCTCAACTTCGGGCACTGAGATTTCCCAGCACTGACACTCCACATGTGACATGAAAACCTACTGCCATTAAGCCGTTAGTCTGAGTGCATGGAGGGTATTCCAATTGCCAGCGTGGGTAACAAAAGAATCCTAGTGAGAACAGAATGAAATCGCGGATTTCCGCTCTGATGGAGATTAAACAGCCTGAGAATGGCTTTGTATATTAACTTCAGGGAACTGGGTCTCACCACCTGAAGAGTGACACCTGATGCCTCAATTGTGGGGTAATAAATCTCCAGCCAGCAGCAGATCTCAAGTAGCCCAAGTAGGCTACGTGGGCGGTGAGAAGAATCATATCAAGCCCATAAATGTCTTCCTTTCTGAGGACTGAGATGCCATCTCCGGGCACTTATGTCCATGTGAGTGGAGGATTTAACTCTTGAGACAATTCAAGTTTGGTAAAATGATGAGTCTTTGACCTTTGTTGACAAAGCACCCTATGATGAGGGCTGTTGTGATCTGAATCAGCAGCAGCAAAGGTAACAACATGGCTAGAATTAAGTGGTAACCGGAACTTCAGATGTAGGTCCCCAATTTCTCCTGGAGTTGTTCTTTTCCTTTTTGAAGGGAATAAAGAGAGGAAACTGGGGAAATATAAGTCAGGTGACAGCGGAAAGTCTCTAGTTAGTCCTTTATTCCCCCAGAGAGTGAAAGACTGAGCAAATGTTGAAAAGAAAGCTATGATTGGTCAGTATACGTTAGCGTTTATAGATCAGGGCAAAGAGAGGCTTGTTTGACCTTAACTAACATAATGACAGCATGAAAAGAGCCATTGCATTTCAGAAACACACCTGTAAGTTTATAAAATAGCAACTGCCAGGCCAGCAAGATGGCTCAGCAAGCAAAGGTGTTTGCCACCAAGCCTAACAATATGAGTTCTACCCCAGGACCCACACGGTGGAAGGTGAGAGTTGACCCCTGCATGTTGTCCTCCGATGCTACAAATGAACTATGGAATGTGTGCGGCCACATGACTACGTGTGCACGTGCACACAAATTAATACATGTAATGAAAAGCTTGAATAAATTTGGGGCGCCACTAGAGAGAAGAATGGACATGAGGCCATGTATTGAGTCTTTTTGCTCATGCTTTGCCCATGCAACTCGGTCGACCACGTGGAAGGGAACATTTTCCTGACCTGGATGCATAAGGAAAGGCGTTTGCTTGTTTGTGATTTTTGTCAGGTTTTCAAGGTCAGAGAGAACTACTGGTGAAGACTGAAATTTATAAGAGCCAATGAGAGCCTGGTCCATCCTCAAATGGCTCAAATTCCCAAGAAAACAGGCTTTTTTGAAAACATAAAATGTATTTGAAAACATACATTTCAAATAGAAGTCATTCTTTATTTAATCAATCTGCTGTTACAAGTGATGCTGTATATTACTGTTGAACACTTAATAACCTTGTAAATTTAACATCCAAATGTGGTTTTATTAGAAACGGGGACCATGATTACTATTTGGGAACATGCAGAGGCTCCTATTGTCAGTCTTCCAGGTTGTATCAGGGAAGTGAAGTAAAACATAAAACCATATCATCATGATGCAATCTTTCTTCCCAACCAACTAAGACAAATCTGAACAAGAAAAGGCATGCTCTGCCCACTTTGGCTGTTTTCACTGGCCTCCAGTGAGCTGCCTAATGGTTGCATTTTTCAATTAACATTGCATAGATATGGGTCATGAAGGGTTCTTTTTTACATGTGTGTCCTGAAAGGGACAAAGACGTTGCAGTTATATAACACATTGATGCACATGGTCATCTTACTGTTTCAATAAGCAGTTAATCATTCTTTCCAAAAGCCTCTTAACCCTGCTCATTTTCCACAAAGTAATGAGTGCTCCATTCCTCGGGAAATACTCTTAAATGGCTGCACAGTACAATATAGTTACACAGTGTATCTATTGTCCCGGGAGTACATTTTGTTGTTACTGGACTTAGAAAAGCATGGAGATGATTCTGAGATTGAAATCCCTGTCCCCAGATGTTTGATTGCCTAAGTGCAGGCTATATTAAGCAACAGAAAGCAAAACAACCCTTGTGGTTTCACGGACGCCCGATCACTGCTCGGGCTCACTCATAATCCTCCGAATAAGATCTAATTTGTTTCATCTGGCAAAGAGGTCATTTCCAGCCGCTGACCTGTGCAAGTACGCAGAGCTGATGGTCTGAACTGTGCCTTACGCTGAACTTGGACTTGCTTTGGCACAGGCAGACCTCTGGTGTCCTCTGCATGGGGTTTTCTAAATACTGAGTTAACACAGGCCTGCACCTGTTGATGCAGATGTACACTCTTCCTCTGTGCATCTCTTTGGAGGTAACACTTTTCTTTCTCCCATTCCCAATTTGGTGACACCTTCCCACCTGGCTTGCCAGTCAGAGACCTAACACAGAGGCTGTTTGAAGCTTTCAAGCTCTTTCTGGGCTCACAATCTAACATTTCCTCGGCCGCTCGCCATCTAATCGCCTGCAATTAGGAAATCTGTACTCTCTCCTTTTCAACCCATGCCCACTTTCCTAGAAGTTTCAACTCCCATTAAAACAAAAAAAGAATTAGTTGAAAATTTATGAAGAGTATTCATCTTTTAATTTTGCCTTAACTATAATATCTTTTTTAGAATTACCAAGAACATTTGTCTCAATATGAAGATAGAAAATCAGGCAATGTCCCAAGAGGCCACTCTTCCAGTGCAACCAATGGGCCACAACCTTCCAGAAGAACAGGCAAGGCCAGGGTTCGGAAACAGAAGAAGCACCAGAATGGCCCAAAATCTCTTGGGATCAAAGAGCTCCTTTTCAGTCAAAAAAGCCAGAATTACCCTGTCCAACAAGCACAAAACCAAAGGCAGCCTATGGATGCCTCAGCAAAGCATGGGATGGCCACATATATGAACTCTTCTAACACCGACTTACAGGACTCCAGAACACTCACCCACAATCCCAAAGTCACCTCCAACATGTTCGTTCCACCCAAGCAGGCTTTCGACAGAGTATTGTATAAAAACTCTGTCTTGGGGCTGAACACTAATAAAAAAAGAGGGCACAGACATGAAGAAGAACAAAGCTCTTTGTATAAGCAGCAGCCCATCTACATTCTTTCTGATATGGATCTGCAAGATGTCAATGAACCTTCTCACAGACACGTGTCCCTGAGCCAGAAAGGCCCTCAGTCTGGTTATGACGTGAACACACCCAGGTCAACGAAGATCAAGAAGCCATCCAAACAACCGCAGGCAGAGACAAAATACAAGAACATAGAGATGCTATGGTGAGAACTCTCTCTTTTTTTAATTTCAAAAAATTTATTTTTCTTAATGTGACTGTACATGTGATTTTGTGTGTGTGCATGTATAATCTTTGTGTATATATATAATATATATATTATATATTTGCTTATAGACATGCATGTAAGCAAAACATCCAGACACATAAAAAGTGCGGGGTGTGGTGGCGCATGACTTTTATTCTAGCACTCAGGAGGCAGAGGTAGGCATATCTCTATGAGTTCAAGTCCAGTTTGATCTACATAGCAGATTCCAGGCCAGTAAAAGCTATATAGTGAGACCCATCATAAAATAAATAAAAAAAAAAAACACCTTAAATTTAAAAGATAGAGTAACTATCTCTGGCAAGAGAAATCAAGGTTACTTTTCATTCTTTCTTTAGAGTTAGAATTGTTCAAGTTCCCTACCATGTAGATGCATTACTTCTATAAGAAAAAAAAGCTAGTTTTTAAAGTCACTTCAAGAGACCGCCCCTGATGTTCCTTTACAAAACATGTTTTCTGGACACCTGACGTGTGATGACTTTGATGCTGAAGTGCACAGAAGGTATGTGCAGTGTGACACAGGGTGCCTTTCATGAGCTTGTTTTCCAGGCAGGATGGAGAGGCAACTTTACATATAAATCAGTTGGGAGACAGGTGCGCTATCAGATGGTCTGGGATATACACTTAGTAAGGGTCTGAGTCCACTTCCTGCAGTGACAGTGACAGCACCTTTGTTGTCTTTTCTCTGGCTCTAGGGGGATGATTTCCACCCTTCTGTAATTATAACTAATATTTAAGTTGGGTGTGGTTGTGTGTCCCCCTGTAATCTCACTACACAGCAAGCTAAGGAAGAAAGATACTGAATTCAAGGGCAGCCTAGACTGCATAGCAACAACCTGACTCCAAACAGGTACACCATGCAAACCTAATGTCTAGAGTTCCATCTCCAAACTTTATCCTCTGACCTGTAACACATGTATATGTCGTCCTTTACACAAGCATATATTCTCACAACATGCACACACATGTGCACTTGTGCACACGCACAGCCACATGCACAAACACAATAATAAAAGTAAATAATCTTTAGTTTTTAGTGGACAGATATAGAAAATTTCTTCCTGTTAGTATTTTCCCTTGCAAAGGACTTTTTATTACAAGTGAGCTTGTAATTTTATCAAATACATCTCACCAATCCTATAATGTAATGAAATATATCCATAGGCTTTCTACTGTGATGCCGTCCTTTCATCCCCAAAATTAACCCAACTTGTCATATTGGACTTTTGGTTTTGTGGTGCTGTTGAAGGAACCCAGAGACTTGCACATTTTAGGCATGCCCTGCCTCCCAGACTGGATTTTTAAAAGATTGCTCAGTTGTCTTTGTTTAGTATTTAATGACATTCATATACATGAAGGAAGACAGGCAGTTGTGTTATCAATGTGCTATCAAACTAGGTGTGGTGGCACAGGTCCTAACTCTGGGAGACAGAGGCAGAAAAATCAGGAGTTCAAGGTCTTGTCAAGGTCAGGAGTTCAGTTATGTTTTGAGTTCCTGGTCAGTCGGGGCATATGAGGAGGGACGACCTGAGCACGCTGGGAGAGTGTCGGCTTTGTGAATAAGTTGAAGACTTGGCTTTCTTCGATTCTTTTTTATCCTCTGGGGCAGTTTGTAGGCAATCAGAATTACATGTGACACAAAAGGTCGATGGAATTTTCCCATGATACTGTTTGGATCAAGGTTGTTTTGTCTGGCCTTGTTTTTGTTATTGTCTGTGAGCAGATTTGAACCCCCTACTCATTATTATAATGACTTTTAGTCTATACAGTGTTCCTGTTTCACCTTTACTAAGTCTGATGAATTGCATTTTCTAGAAAAAAAGTAACACTTGTGTGAAGATGTACTACATTAAAGTTTTCATTTCATTTGTTCACAATATTTGAAATCTTTTCTATCAGTAGTCATGTCCTTATTTTCTTTTCTGTTATTACTTTTTCTCCTTTTGAGTGGCTAGGGGGACAGAATTTTATTGTGTCATCCTGCCTAGGGCCTAACAGTCAGTGTGTTACCCAGGCTGTCCCCAAAGTCATGGCAATCCTCCTGGCTCGACTTCCCAAGTGCTGGGACTTGCAGGCCTGCACCATCATACCAGGCTGACATTTCTCAACAATTTTTCTGATTGTTCCAGAGACCTGCTGCACAGTTGTTCTGAGGACACTCTTGGTCTTTCTCCTGACTGGATTTCCTTTTCTTTCTTTCTTTTAGAATCTCACTTTCCTTATTTTGCTGAACTCATCCTCTAGTATTTTTCTTTGAACAAGAAATGTGATGGCAGAGGACAGGTGTCTCCCTGTGGTGTCTTGCACGTGCTTTCTCCATGACAGGCCTATCCTACCAGGATGGAGCTAAGGATGCCCTCAGACAATTTCCCTTTGCCTTTCTCCATCCCTCCTTGTCTCCCATACTTCCCACTCTCATTCTCCTAGAGAGCTCGGTCCGCTGCCTGGAAGCTAAGCATTCTGGGACTTGCACCACTGACACTGTTTTTATTCTGCCCCTGTCTGAGTGACAGCTGACAGAGTAGTGCAGAATTCTAAGTTAGAAACCGTTCACCCTCAGAGTCATCTTCTTGCCCCCAGTGTGACTTCTGCACAATCCGAAGCCACCTGATTCCAGATCCACCATTCCAGATCACTGTTTTTATAGATTGTGCCAGCTCCTTTGAACCTGGAGACTTGCCTCCTCCTAGTCTGGGAAAAACACAGAAGGGTCTCATGGGCCATCTCTTCCCATCCTCTCCATCTTCTGTCCATGCTTCCCAGTAGCATGCCTTGCTTACTCAGAGGCATCCTTCCGGGACTGCCATGTGGGTCCTGAGTTCCACTCTTCCACTGCTCTCGTGCGGCTCAGGGTATATCTTTGCTTCTGTGGCTATCTTCTGACACGCCTCTTTCCAGGAAAACAGCATCATTCCTTCCTGACATCCTACATTCTCAACAAGGTACATGGCTGTGAGAGCATTTTGTTTTGTTTTTTGTTTTTCAAGACAGGGTTTCTTTGTGTAGCTTTGGCATCTTTCCTGGAACTCACTCTGTAGCCCAGGCTGGCCTCAAACTCACAGAGATCTGCCTGCCTCTGCCTCCTGAATGCTGAGATTAAAGGCGTGCACCACCATAGCCCGGGAAACTTTTCCTTTTTTTTTTTCTTCCATATTTTTGGGTATTTTGCCTGCATGCATATATGTGCAACAATGCTCTCAGAGGCCAGAAGAGGGCATCAGATTCCCTGAAACTGGAAGTATATACAGTTGTGAGCTGCCAGGTAAATGCTGGGAATTGAACCTGGGTCCTCTGAAAGAGCAGCTCTTAACCTCAGAGCCACCTCTCCAGAGCCCTGCACTTTTTAAGTGAGAGCCTTTTTGACAGTTTTTAAGCTTTTAAATTTCCTTAGTTTCTCTTTCCTCTGGGTTTTGGTTGGTGCTGGTGGAATAGTCTCTTTCTCTTTCTCTCTCTCTCTCTCTCTCTCTCTCTCTCTCTCTCTCTCTCTCTCTCTCTCCCCCCCCCCCCTGCTCTGCATCTGCATCAAGGCTGCTCTTGCTTGTCTGACAATCTGAAAATCACATTGTATCGGGAGCTGAGTGACAGGCCCATTGACATCTGATTGCTGTGGGGTGATCAGTGGGGGCCACTTGACGGAAGGCTCCTCCTGCCGGGTCTGTGTCTTTTTCTTGGGGGAGGGGGTCCGATGAATTTCTGTTCCTGATACTTCACAGGTACAAGAGTATTTTTCTTTCTTCAGAAATGCACGTCTCAAAGGTGTGGAGCTTCAGAAAAGACAGTAGCCTCCCTCCCAGCATGGAGAAGAAAATCCCAGGACTTGCTTGCTGGCCCGTTTGTGCCGGGCATGCGCTCCACCACAATGCCACGTTCCCAGCCCACCAGCACTAACTCTTAGACCTCAGATCCTTTGCCCAAAAGTCCCACGAAGAAAGCCACATCTTCAGCTAATCCAGAACCGTTTTGCCTTTCATTTCTTTTTGTTTCCATCCCCAGAGATTCCCAGATTCTCTGGCACATTCAACTACGTATTTAAAGAATGCTTCTTTAATTTAATCCATCATTTCTAGCCGCTGTGAAATGGGAAGGTCTTTGGGTTTCAAAATGGTGTTTGGGGTTTTGTAGTTGTTAGCTTGCTTGCTTGCTTATTATCCTATGCTTCAAGCACTAACTGAAAGTCCTTAACAAGCCTCACCTGTTGGGGGCTGGAAGGCTGGCTCAGCCGGTAAGAGTCGAATACTATTACAGAGGACCCAAGTTTGGTTCCCCGCACTCACATAAGATGTCTGTCACTCCGGGTGGCAGGATCTGACACCCTCTTTGGAACTCCAAGGGCACCTGTGCACACATGTACACACACACAGAGACACATAAATAAATAAATATTTTTGAGAGGGAGTTAGAATGTCCCAAGGAAAAAGAGGAGGATTTGAAGATGAGAAATCAATGTATTCATGAAATGATGAATGGTTCCTAAAGACGTCTATACAGAAAGTGGTGTTAGGGATTCAAGTTTTATTTAAACCACGTGTGTTTTCTCCAAAGGAAATTCCACTCTTCCTCAGACATGGAACGCATGAATGCCTCTCCAGACTCCCGGCTCGCCCAGATCATGGAACAGCACCAGCAAGCCTTGGTGCAGCTGGCGGAAGTGCAGCCCAGCGAGGGCTCCTTGTCCAGCACCACACTCCCGCCCATACTGTCCAGGGTAGAGAGTGAATCCCAACTGGATGCAGAGAGAAGCCGCCGACACCAGATGAAGATGGCCCGCAGTAATTCGGAAGGCTACCTGCTTCAGCTGGAAAGAGGGAGAAGACACAGGAAGCGCAGCGGGACAAAGGTGATATGAGCGTGGCCGTTTAGCCTAGTCACTTTGTAATTCTGATGACAGAGATGGGCCTGGAATGGGGCTGGTCACAGCAAACTGGTCCAGGAACTAGGAACCCTCCCCTCAATCCCTTGCTAGTCCCTGATTCCCCCTCCCTACCTTTCCAGAAGTTTCTGTTGTCGAGGATGCCTACTCCCACTTTCTTTACAGGTCATCTCAGGGAAGAGTATACACTGCAGAAGGCAATAATAATTCTGCTTTTACCCTCAATTCAATCCCCACTTTCCCTCACCCCAGTCCCTCTCCTAAGCTGAGTCTCACACCTTCATATCTGAAAAGGGAGAGTAGGGCTGAGTGAGGGAGAGCCATGTTGTCAGAGCTCCCTCACCATCCATCACTGGTCCCTCGGCACCAAAGATTCCTCTTGGTGTACATCTTACCTCAGCTTCTATAGGAAGTACCCGGGCCAACCAGTGGACTGAGCTGCTCTCCAGAATGGCAGCTGGTCTTTACTGAGTTCTTCATCTAGACATTGGGTCACCATGGTGAGCATTTTTTTGTGCAATTCAGTCTCTCCATGTCTTGCTTTTAAACCCAACTTTTTACATTCTCAGGAAGATCACTTGGTCCCAGGGTGAAATAATGTGGTTTTGTTTTTCATTACTATAATAAGATACCCAAGGCAGGTTATGTTATGAAGAAGTTTATTTAGCTCATGGTTCTGAGGCATGGGGAGTGCTGCTGTTAGCTTCCACTGTAAATAAGGAGGCCTGAGTTTCGGGAATCACAGGTCGCCTCTTCTCCCAGAGAAACGTGATTACAGGGCAGCTGGGTGCTAAAGTAGTGCCTATATCACTTTCCAGTGTTTCTCAGGTAAGTCAACACTTACAGACCAGACTGGGAAGCAAGCATCCTATGTATCATTTCCATGGGGACATATGATCAGCCTCGGCAACCAACACTCCCTGTCAACATGGAGAATGTCTGCTTACTCCAGAGCTCATAGATCACCAGGGCCTAAGAAATGGACAAACACAGCCTCTCAGAAGAGAACTTTCCTGTAGTTGAAAAACAAAAGCTTTTGAACTGGGTTTTTTTTTTTTTTTTTTTTTTTTTTTTTTTGGTTTTTCGAGACAGGGTTTCTCTGTGTAGCTTTGCGCCTTTCCTGGAACTCACTTGGTAGTCCAGGCTGGCCTCGAACTCACAGAGATCCGCCTGGCTCTGCCTCCCGAGTGCTGGGATTAAAGGTGTGCACCACCACCGCCCGGCGAACTGGGTTTTTAACTGCAGGGTTGAGAGGAAGTTGGTGGACTCAGTCATTCCAAAGTCCTTGGTCCAGTCCCATCTCCTAGTGTCTCTGGAACTCGAGGAATGCTGCTCACTGGCTTGCTCCTCATGGCTTGCTCAGCTTGCTTTCTCATGGAACCCAGGACCACCAGCCTAAGACTGGCCCCACCCATAGTGGGCTGATCCCTCCCACATCCATCACTAATTACGGAAATGCCCTACAGTCTTGCCTACAGACCCATCTTATGGAGGCACCGTTCTCGGCTGAGGAGTTTCTGACTTACCCCAGTCCCTGATTCTGCATAGAAACAATCAGAATTATTCTTTCTTTCTTTTTTTTTTTAGGTGTGGTGTGATATTAAATGAAATCATGTACTAAAACCTCAGCTTATTCCCTAGCAAAGATTATACATCAATTAAATGTCATTTCTCTTTCCTTCCTTTTCACAAATTGAATTCATTTTGTGTTGAGAAAGGATAGAGGCAAATGTCCTGGTGACAATACATAGCACCACAATCTGAGGTGGTGGGAAGGTGGGAAGAGTGGGACAACTTCCTGCCCCTGCCCGCCCCTCCCCAAATTCTGTGAGGGTGGCTGCAATCCACACACATCCATTTTCTCAGCCCAGTACCTTCAATCTACATCCGACAAGCACACCAGAGCACCCTTTGTCTTTAAGCCCTTCTAGAAGCTGAAGTCACTAGAACTGAGTGATTTGTATAGGACAGCAGGTAGTCCGGTCACCAGACATAGGGAGTCATTATCCATGTCACGCCTATTTGCTGGCCAAGTCAAAGCTCTTGGTTTCCAAGGGAAGCACCCCGAGTCACGGTAAAAATTTTGAGGATTTGTAAAGATAATAGGCCTGGGGGCCCCTTCCTCTTCTGGCGGTACCGTTGAGAGTGATTTCAGAATACAAGGCATTGTCCACGTCATTAAATCCAGGCTTAAGACTAAGAAATTAACACAGCACAAGGGATGCCAAACTATCAAGATACACTTCTCCTGTCTCCAGCCGCCACTTTCCTGAGTACGGGCTCAGTAAAGAGTTCTCTGGCAGATGAGGGTTGAGCTTGTATAATTAGCTGGTGTTTGTTGTCACAGACAATCTGGGGCTTGCTGCTTGGCTGCCCCTAAAAAGAGGTTTATTTGGATTAAGTTTAGTGACCACAGAGCACATATCCTTTGCCTGCTGCTCCCCTGCATCCAAGGCATTGTTTTTCTCTTGATTTTCAGTAACTTTCTCAGTCTTACACATCTGAGGAATTTTCTAGAGACTAGGTCTGCAGTGTAGTCTCCTTACCCTCAGCAGGGTGTAACATTTCAGAATTGAAACAAGTCCTCAAAGATCAGCCAATGTCATTTCAGTTCAGGTGTACTCTTTATACAGTGACAGTCACACACCTTGCTAGAGAGCATGATGAATGATTAGTAGAAACCTCGCCCCCAGGAAAGTCCAGTGTTTGAGGGGCCAAGGCCAGTAGGTGTCAGTGGGTATGTGGCTTTTTTTGTTTGTTTGTTTTGTTTTTCGGTTTGGGGATTTTTTTTTTTTTAAAAAAACAGGGTCTCACTCATTCTGCAGCCCAAGTTGACCTCTAACTCATGGTGGTCCTCCTGTCTCCTATCATATGCTAGGATTACAGGTGTAAACCACAAAGCCTGGGTCCATGTGAGCCTTACGCAAAGACAAGTAGTGGCTGTGCTTAGGATTTGTCTAGACCATGCCTCTATATTCCAATGTTCGATCCCTGCGTTCAGAGACTTAATAAGACTGTCAGGGCTGATGTCTTATAGCTACCATTACCATCACCATCATCACCATCATCATCATCATCATCATCATCATCATCATCATCACTGTTTTGACATTGTGCTGCTTTTTCAGTCTTTAAAAAAAAACAAGGAAGGGTAAATGAAAATAACATCTGAGGATTGTTTGACTGTAAAAGACTATTGAAGAAGCATTAAGTAGCTTAGCTGCCTAGGGCTAGAGGTGTGGGGACTGGACAAGGACAGTGAGGATTAACGGGTCCTGGAGTTCTGTTTTGTTTTTTTCAGAGTGATGAAAATGTTGTAGAATTGGATTGGGCAATGCTTACACAATTCGGTGACTATCCTAAAAACCACTGAATTGGACAGCTTTAAATGAGTGAATTTTGTGGTATGAGCATTACACCTCAACAATGCTGTTAAGACTTTAGATGGAGAGAGATCAAACAGAATTACAGCGCTGAGCTCCTCCTCATTACTTGCGCCAAACTTAAGCAGATCCAAGATTCTCACCGTCAGTCACGCGGAACAAACTCCCCTAGGAGCCACCTCCATCCCCTGGGAAATGTCGTGGTGCTCATCCTGTAAAGGGATCAGCAGCCATGGGGATGGCCCATTTGGGCCACATGCTCTCTCTCTCTCCTTGTCTATATGGAATGCTAGACCCTTGGCTCTGATTTTTTTTTTTTTTTACAATAACCTTGATGCTTGCTAAAGTTGCTAGTAAGAAGAGTGGCTGAAGATCAACACACAATTATCCATGCTTCCTGGCATGTCCTTTGTGAACTGGTAGCATGATTAAAAGTTAAGCTGCACCAGGGCTAAGGATGAGGCTTCTACCCACTGATCATTTCTTTCTCATTGTCTTCGGGCAAATTGGATTTATGGCTTGGATATGAGTGGTGGTTTATTTATTTGACTCCTTTTTTTGTCATTTTTTTTTTTTGCTTTGGCAAATGGACCATAATTTAATTATTGCAAAAACATGACACAGAGGGTACCTTTGAGAAGAATGGATAAGTTGTCTACATTCACTCGACTATTAAAAATGACTGACATTTTGAGAGTGTGATAATACCCCACCTTGTAACCAAGGTTTGTAACGGGGGCCATCTTATTGTTCAGTGGGAGCAGAGATGCTAATTGGTGGCCTTAAACGTCTATTAGATCTCAATAGTCATACTTCCACCAATTTATCTCCAAAAATAGTCAAACTAGCATACAGTGTTTATCTCCGTGGATCTTCAATGGACAACATTTAGAGCAACACAACATTTAATGACACTAAATGATAGAATATTTGTCTAAAATTCACGTTTTTGAAATCCACTTGATGTCAGAAAAGTAAAGTGAAAAACCAAAAAAATTAAAATATGTGTAGTATATGAATACTTTTATAAACATATGAAGAAGGGCCAGCAAGGTGGTTCAGTGGAGAAGGGTACTTGCTGCACAAGCCTAATGATGTGTGCACACAAATAAATACTTTTAAATAAAAAATCTTTAGTATTAAAAACAACAAGAGTACGAACAAGCCAAACATCACCATACAAGTGGCATGTGCCTGTAATCCCAACACTGGGCTGAAGAATTGCAAGGACAGCCACGGTTACATCGCCAGACCCAGCCCTCCCCCCCAAAAAAAAAAAATGTCAAAACATATGATGGACAGGAAGCAGACACGAGCAGATATAGTGCTGTTATCTTGATAATGACTGTTTTCCTAAAGATATATTATTTTGGAATATCCTTCGATGAGCAATAATTGCCCTGTCCATTTTAACGTTATTTTTAATGATTTCAGAACAAAGACTTCCTTAAAATAGAATCTTAGCTTCTCTCTATTTTTCGACTTGGACCCACTGAGGGAGCTTTGACCATAAATGTTTAACATCATAACGGGGCCAGCTCTGTTTACAGAGCCTTTAATCCTTGAAGTGCAGAAGTGTTGCACCTGCGTGGCACTTTATTTTGCTCCTTCTGAACAGCGACACTGAAGCCCTGGAGTGTTAGGAATATTGCCTTCCACAGCGGTGACAGAGTGACCAGCAATTTCAAAACCATGGGTTCATTCTTCTTTCATACAATTAACCCAGGGGTAGGCAGTTGCTACCACTGGGGTTTCCACAGCTCAGAACATCAGAACCAAGAATTGTGTGATTCTCCTGTTTTCCCCCTGCCTGAAGGGGTGCGGCTCCAGCTGCAGGAGCCCATCCACTCTGGGGGTGGGCATAGAACATAAAAAACAAGAGGGCAGTTGCCACGCCAACCGGAATAAAAAGACGTAACTGCTACCCACCAAACTCAATTATAGCTTACCAGCCAGAGCTCTGTGGTGGGGAGGTTGGGGGGAAAGAATCGGTCCCCGTATCCGTGGGTTCTAGAAATAGTGTACCTCTACTGAATGCAACAGACTTTTTTCCAAGTCGTTGTGACAGCAGAGTGACTCTCTGAGTAGTGCTTACATCACGCCGGGTATAAACAATCCAGAGATGACGAAAGCATATGGGCCGTGTGCACAGGTTATAGGCTGATACTGCTCTTTAGATAAGGGCCTTGAGCATCTAGACTGGTATCCACAGGATGTCCTGGAACCAAATGCCCACAGATGATAAAGGACAACTAACTGTAGTGGACCGGGGACTTCTGCAGTGGGAGGAGTCAAGGGAAAAGCCAGGGCAGCACCCGTCAGTAGCAACCGTGTTGGGATGGTTGGGACAGTGGGTGCCCAGCTCATTCTTAGGGCCATGGACTTACACGAAGTGATTCTAACTTATTTGACAAAATGTTTTCATTCATCTGATGATCATTGCCGAGCTGTACCTCAGAAAAGGCTCAGCAGATGTATGGCCCATCAGGATGGCATGATGGCTCAGTGGTTAAGAGCACTTGCTGCTCTTACAGAGGACCCAGGTTTGGTTCCCAGCACCCACATGATGGCTCACAACCATCTGTATCTCCAGCTCTTGGAGCTCCAATACCCTTTTCTGACTTCTTCAAACACTGCACACATGTTGTATGCATACCTACATGTAAGCAAAACAACCATACACACAAAAAAATTAATTTTAAAAGGTATATGGCCTATCTTAGAACTTAACATAATTTACAGGAACTTTAAAATACATGCACACATATACACAAAATTATTCTGAAAACTCTTGGAAAGCCTACTTACACCTCTTAACAGTTTGGGTTGTATTCTTGTGAATTTTTATCTACACATACAAACAGAGATTGAATTTTTGTCTAAATGGTGGCATCAGTTTATACCAGTGTAAGATTTCAAAGCCATACGACTTGCCAATCTTGTTATCAGTGTGGCCTGTAATCATTTCGTTTTAATTTTTGATGGTTTTACACATAAAAGCACTCTGTCAATCTTTAAAGTGTGTCACACTTTCCAGACATCAGCACATGAGAGCTTCCAGTATGTGTATGAGCTCTCTCTACACAGAGAACTGGAATTCATTGTTCCTCAAATAAGACAATGGATTATTTATTATCAAATTAGTAATGTTTTACTATATAGATTTGTTTGTTTGTTTTTAACCATTCAGTTTTGTGTTATATTTGGAGTCTGAGTCTCAATGGTTATTCTGAAAAAGATTAATTTTACAATCCAGTAAGACTCTTTCAAAGCAAGCCACAATCATATTTATTTATTTATTTATTTATTTATTTATTTATTTATTTATTTATTTATTTATTTATTTTTGGTTTTCGAGACAGAGTTTCTCTGTGTATCCCTGGAACTCAAACTCACTCAGTAGAGCAGGCTGGCCTCGAACTCACAAATGCATCTGCTCTGCCCCTCCACCCCACCCCCCAACCCCAGTGTTAGGATTAAAGGCGTGTGCCCCCACACTCAGCGCAAGACTCTGTAATTGAGAGTGATGTACAGTTAGGAAGTATCACGCAGGTGGCACCCATCATTTTTTTCACTCTAAGCACAAACTTAACTTTGCTCTAACATAGTTACCACTATCGTTCTGGTTAGTTTTTGACAATCTGACACAGCCCTACATATCTGGGAAGAGGAACTTTGGTTGAGAAAACTGCCTCCGTCAGACTGCCTGTAGGCAAGTCACAGGGCGTTTTCTTGATGGATAGATGATGGGGGAGGAGCCAGCTTACTGTGGGTGGTGCTCCCCTGGGCGGATGGTCCTGGGGCATAGAAGAAAACAACTGAGCAAGAACTGAAGAGTGAATCGGTAAGCAGCGTTCCTCCATGGCTTTGCTTCAGTTCCTGCCTGACTTCCCTTAGTGATGCAGTGTGGAAATAAGATGAAACAAACCCTCTCCTCCCCAGGTTGCTTTTGGTCATGGTATTTTATCATAACAATAGAAAACCCTAAGACAAGTCATTGAAACCATTCCTTCAGTGGTGTCTCTCTCATACTTTCCAGAAAGTGGAACTAAATTCATTGAGGAGTTGAAAGAGGAAAAGATTTGGTTCCCCCACAAGGGCCAATGGCCAGTCCAAGCTTCGGTTTTTGTGTGGAAAGGTGCAGTTTGGGGTCTATCTGGGCTAGCCTCAGATCATAGCCTCACTCTGAGGCCCTGTCTGCTCGGGTGTGTGATGCTAGAGTTACAATGTCAAATTCTAGGTGCCCTTCAGTGTTTCCGAAATCACACTAACAGAACTAAATGAATGTCTCAGTGGGTCTTGCTGAGGCTCAAATGCTTTGAGTATTGTGAATGAACGAGCGTTGTTTTCCCATCCCTAAAACTATCTACTATTCCAACAACGAGCTGTGAAATTTTCAAGTTGCAGTCACATGGCTTGTCTTGTGAATGTCTCGGGAGGCAGCAGTCACCCCACTGGACAGGGACTTTCTGAAGCAGTGTATTTTGACCGCCATTGTGAGGAGTCATTTGGTTTTGCTCGACTGGACATCATGGTAACTGCTGCCTGGGGAGGAGAGTTGTATTACACATGCTTCAGTTAAAAATGTTTACCAAAGAGCAAACTGTCACCTTGAAATTGCTTATTCTTTCGGAATTTCAATTCCTTTTATCGCAGAAGTGAAAAGGTCAAAACACATACAACTACAAATACCAAATAGACGATGACAGGCAACTCCCGTGAAGACGGCACCCTTGCCGAGAAGTGCGCTCCTTCACCCACCTTCCGCCAGGGCTTCTAGCCTTCACTGTCCTTCTTCCCTATGTCCTTGTGACTTCTTGGAGGAGACACTGATCCCTGAAAGAAACGGTTTCTGTGGTTGTGTTTTCAGAGTTCCAAGGTGAAAGGTTATCAGAAAAAGGAAGTGAAGCTTGGAGGCCTGGGACCTGACTTGGAGTCCGTCAGAGACAAAGTAAGTGGCGTGTGGCATTTTCAGACTTGGTGCTCTCTACCTGTCCTTAGCAGTAGGGGGTAAAGAGGCACCCCAGCACCAAACCCCTCAGAAACAGCCATGCTGACACAATAGAGACCCAGCTATTCCTGCTACAAAATAAAAAAAACATTCTCAGCCTGTGTTATTTTATGCACTGCCTTTCAGTTAGATCTGAAAGCCTCCCCCAGAAGAGTGGGCGCATGAATGTGGAAAGGGATGCATGTGCTATGTGCTTGTTGGTCTCCCTGATAGAGTTGTCTTGATAACTTTGAAGTGGCCACAGAGAAGACACTTAGGATACGAGTTCCCCAACCCCTAAGAAGTACATCCACTTTATTCTCTTTCCTCTAGTGAAAGGAGATCTTCATGTAATGTGTTTGAACTGCAGTTGCACTCAGGCATAAAAAGAGTAGAGTTCAAAGTTGGAAGCAAAAATGAAAATAAATTGGGTAAATGCAACAAAGAAGAGGCTGAATAGGATTTAGCCTCTGTTACGAGAACACCGGTAGTGCCGCTCCACTCACGGTGGATTCTCCAGGGAAACATTAACCAGTTCACTGCTGCCACCTTACACAAGCCACCCCCGCCCCCGCCCCCGGCTGCCCACCTCAGTAAAACCAGTGTCACCGGGAGAATTAGCAGAGATTAGCTCACTATACTCCATTTCTCTGAGCAGATGCAAAAATTAATACAGCAAAAAGAATACGCGAAGCAAGTTCAGGAATACAACACGAAGACACTGTCCCTCCTGTCCAAACCACAGGCAGCAAAAACTGAGAGGAAATCAGTGCTCTCTCGGCAGAAGGTAAAAAGCTCGTGCGGGGTATTCACTGCTTCAGTCGGAATTAAAGGATACTTTGGTCACCACCTAACCTCAAAAGATGTGTTTGGAGCCAGGCATGGTGGTGCACGCCTTTAATCCCAGCACTGGGGAGGCAGAGGCAGGTGGATTTCTGTGAGTTCAAGGCCAGCCTGGTCTAGAAATCAAGTTCCAGGACAGCTAGGGCTGTTAACACAGAGAAACCCTATCTGGTGTGTGTGTGTGTGGGGGGGGGGGGGGGGGCGGTTGGAGTTTGGAACATAGAAGATGTATAGTAACCACCATTTCTGCACTTACATGTTATCCACAAATACTGACATAAACACACACACACACACACACACACACACACACACACACACACACACACTCCTGTTAGGTCAGTATGTTGTCTTGGTTTTGTCACATGTCAAAATAGCAAAGTGATTTCTCATCAGGAGTTAGCGGTCTGGGTTAACTATTGATTTCATCCTTTATAATTAAACAACTTTTGAGGAAATTAGCATGCTCTTGTTGTTCATGCAAAATAAATAAATAAATAAATCCCTCATTGTTTCTTTTAAGTTCATTTCTCTGTGCTTTTCCAGAGAGAGTGCATGGGTTCCTCCGTTGGGGGAGGGTGGGGACTTAAAGCAATGCAGAATGTCTGTCCTCTCAGGCGTCATCTAACGAAGAGTCAGGATGGGAGTGAAACGTGTGCTGTGGAGACACACTGCGCCCTGCCTCAGCTGATCCGTTCAGTCCTACACAGCCATGGGGACTCCTTGCAGGAGGAATGTGCTCTCCTTTGGTGCCCTTAGGAACGTGTGCCGCGTGCTCTCTCTCACCCACCGTCACATTTATTCCTCCTCAGACCTTGACAACTCCATTTTCCTCCCCGAGTGTCCACGGCACCATTTCCTTCCCTCTCCAACCCGTCACATTTTCATGCAGATGTTCATGGTGACAGATCTCTTGAGAATTCCCATACCTTTCTCTTACATGCTTTCAGAACATGAACATTTCATGTTTGGGTGTTTATTCCCCAACCCCCCCTGCCCCCCCCCCCCCCCCCCCCCCCCCCCCCCCCCGTCTCTGATACTTGAAAATACTGTCCATTCCCATTTCAGCTGTCAATAAATTCTTATTAAAATACAAAGGTTGGGGCTGGAGAGGTGGCTCAGTGGTTAAGAGCACTTACAGTTTTTACAGAGGACCCAGGTTTGGTTCCCAACACCCATGTGGTGGCTCACAACTGTCTGCAACTCCAGTTCCAAAGGACCCTCCTCTGACCTCTGAGGGCACTAGGCATGTACGTGGTACACAGACATGTCTGCAAGCAAAGTACTCATACACATAAATCTAGCAACAGAAGCTTAAAAATGCAGAACCAGTATAAGTCATGTTTAATTCTCTCTCTCTCTCTCTCTCTCTCTCTCTCTCTCTCTCTCTCTCTCTCCACTCCCTTTGTTCCTCCCCACCTCTCCTTCCATCCTAACAGAACCAAGGGCCATGTACATGTAGGTAAAGGCTCTGTCATTGAACAGCATCCCTAGCCCAACTGGCCTCATTTTTATCATAACTTAACCTTTAAAATTTGGCATCAGCCGGGCGGTGGTGGCGCACGCCTTTAATCCCAGCACTCGGGAGGCAGAGCCAGGCGGATCTCTGTGAGTTCGAGGCCAGCCTGGTCTCCAAAGCGAGTTCCAGGAAAGGCGCAAAGCTACACAGAGAAACCCTGTCTCGAAAACCCAAAAAAAAAAAAAAAAAAAAAAAAAAAAAAAAAAAAAAAAAAAAAAATTTGGCATCAATTAAAAAAAAAAGCCCTACATTTCAACATCTATCTTCTATAGATACACTTAAAAATACCCACTTTTCTTTCCAAGAACAAGGGGATGTCATGAACAAAGGTGAGTTTTCATCACCTACAGTGATGGGGCTTCAGTCTCTGAGTCCTTCAGCTACAAGTCCACTCTGGGCAGAAAGGCTTGTTAGAAGTTTGGTTTTAGCAAGACTCTCAGAGAGTTGGCCAAATAAACACATGAGAAATCTGTTTGCAAACACTTAAAAGAATCTGTCACGGTAAAAGCATCTGAGTAACATAACAGCTGTCTAAACCAGCTCCTCTTCACTCCACAGCAGGCTGTCCAGTGGCTAATTTGTTTTGTTTAAACTATGCATTATAATGTGTGATCTGCATCTTCCATTCAGTTGCCATTTCTGCCTACAGTACAGTGATCTCCATCTCTCTCATAAACCTCTCCTAAGACCAACTTCCCACTTTAAATGATGTTTTTCTTTCTCTGCCCTCAGGCTTTGGAATACGCTAAGACCATCCCCAAACCCAAACCACCAAATCTGACTGATCAAGCAGCAAAGAAGAATAAGAAGTCGAGGAAGGGTGAACGAGAAGGAAGCTTGCCGGAAATCTCCCTGCTGGAGATCCTGCAGAGCAGGCACGAGAGGGAAAAGCAGGCTGTGGCCGCTTTCAAAGTCCTTCACATCGTCTAGACAGCATTTGGTGGGGATCAAAGCCGCCATGAAAGGGACACGGAGAACAGAAACCAAACAATTCCATCTACGCTGAGTGGTAACCTGGCACTGTCACCTGCCCACCCCCCACCCCCCACCCCACCCCCGCCATCTGCTCTCTGCAGAAGTTAGTGTGGGGCCCAGTCAGACACCGGACATCTTGACCCTTCTGGATATAAAAATACATATTTTTATTTATTTTCAAACCTGTTAGAATTGGGGCTAATAGAGAGCTAGACAATAAAGCCACTGGTTTATATTGGATCTTCTGGTTTGTTGAACTACCTCTGCCCTTCTTCCACAGAGTGCACAGACTTCAGGTTTTCCTAACTTGAGTTTGGCTGACCTGGTCACTGAGGTAACATGTCCAAAGTAATACTTCAGCTTTCAAGTTTCAAAAAAGTCTGTTATTTAAAGATATGTCTAGATGTGCATATTGAAATGAGGGGGGGAGTTCTAATTTCAATCTAACAGAACACTAAGACATTAGTCACAGATCCTGCAAGTCCAGGGAAGCCCACCTCAGATCACTTTATGGTCAAAGCCATCGACTCCACACCTATGAATTTCCTGGGCATCTTGTCATGCTTGTGGCTCTCTTCAGATACTATCAATGCATGCACTTCAGAGTCTGCTCTGAGCGTGAAGATTCATACTCTTTTTTATTTTTCTCTTTTGAAGCATTATCAAGAGTTCCAGTCTTAAAATGACTAAAGAGCCAGCAGTGGTCACATGTGTTTGTAATCTCAGCACTTGGGAAGTTGAGGCAGGGAGGGTGGGGGTGTGTTTCAGGTTGGAGGCTAGCCTCATCTAAACAGTGAGAGTCTGTCTCAAAAGAGCAAGAACACACTTACCCAAGGACTAACATTTACCTCCTTCCTGGACATTGCGTCCTTCCTTGAGTATGTCCAGAAATGAGTCATTTTCACCACCTAGGGCAAATCTATACGTGCGGTATAAGGATTAGCCTTAGAAATTCGCGTTCGTGTGGTATGTGTGCTGCATATGTCATGAGAGGAACAAAAGCTGCCCACAAGAAACCGCCTCTTAGAGCTGAAAGCAGAGTTGATGGGAGAGAAACTCATTTCCTTGTGGGCAGAGGATGTTGTTAGGAGTTTCAAATCCTCCCACCACCTCCACACTTCAGGAGCCAATGCTGAGCCGAAGCAGGTGAAATGAATTGGCAGACCACAAACACTATTTCCTCCCAAGGCCAAGCTTTACCCAGCCAGCACGTAAGACCCTGGGGGGGGGGGGTTCTCAACCTGTAGGTCACAACTCTTTTCCATAGGGGTCGCATATCAGATATTTACATTACAACGAAACGAATATTATGGTTGGGGGGGTCACCACAACATGAGGAACCGTATTGAAGGGTCACAGAATTGGGAAGGGTGAGAACCGCTGCCCTAGGACATCAAAATTCTTTATTCAGGGCCAAATGACATCTAAAATAGTTCAGTCAAATAAATAAAATCGTTGCTGAAAGTCTGGGGTTGAAGTCAAAGAATGAATCCTATGGACCTTCCCGTGGCCTCAAGATACCTCACAATGTTAAGGTTCAGTGGAATGTCACTAGGCCACCACGGTCCAGGTACAGTGAAGGACAAACGCTTTGTATCTCCTTCTTTACGTAGCCCAACATTGATTTCATAAACCTAAGTGATTAATTTTATAGCATTTGCTTCAGAAACTCAAAAAAAAGAAAAAAAGAACCTGCCTATTGGAAGTCAGCCACGTGGACCAACCCATATCAGTATCAACATGGCATCAAAGTCTTCTATTAGAACACATGGAGGGCTGGCAAGAGGCTCCACAGGTAAAGGTGAGTGCCACACAAGCCAGGCAACCAGAGTTCAACCCCTGAAGCCCATGGTGGAAGCAGAAAACTGACCCCTGAATGTAATCCTCTGCCACATGAGCACTGTGACATTAACGCGCGTGCACTCGAGCACACACACACACACACACACACACACACACACACACACACACACACACACACACAAACTGAAAATATCACCACCTAGGGAATCCTTGAATTTTGACAAAACAAGGCAGTTGCTTGCCAGAATGAAAGAATAGAAGCAAGGAAGAAAGGAAGGAGATTTAGACTTGAGTGATATCATGAGGGAGACAGGAAGGAGCTGGAGAGGATGCATTTGACCAAATGTTATATGAGTCATTGAAAGGCATAGGATAATTCTGCCCGGTCTCTGTGAACTAGTACAGATAAAGGCTCCTTAAGCCATGCCTTCTCCTTAGTACAGCATCCTTTTGATGGTGCTTCTTCTAAAGTTTCAACAAGAACATCCTCTTACATGGAGCCTTTTTTTCTTTTTTTCACAAGTAGCTGAATTTAATGACAGCTGTCTTCTTGATATTGTTTTGTGTAGTAAGGAGTCTCTTGGGACTTATCCAGAAACTAAGTCAAGAAAAGACAATATTGAGGAACAAAATAAAAGGTAATCCCAGGAAAGGCAATGATGCCTAATGGGTCCAATTGGGGCTTATTATTGGTTAATGAATCATTGTCAAAACATCACAGCAAGCATGAGCGTGCACAGTCTCATCGACAGTGAGAAAATGACTCTTCATCCCAACAGTTATTAACTGGGAGTTGTTTGAAAACACGTCCAGTGATTATAACAACACCGGAGCTAATTGAGAACCCTGAGTGGACAGCAAAGAGCCTACAATAGCAGACTCGGTCAGCTCAGATGGGGTTTCTTTCCTAATTACTTCTTGAAAAATAGCAGGGAAGAAAATTGAATTTGGGTGGCAGCCTGCAGATATCAACCTTAACTAAATCTCCCTGTTATTGGTACATACGTGTATATCATACATACAATCATGACATGTATATCACGATACATATTATCGTGACATTAGAAGCAGCATTTGAAAATAAAAATTCTTAAGGAAACATGGTTGCTGTCCCCAGTGTGGTCTTTGAAAGAATACTGTTACCTAACGTGCATTTCAGTCAACTCTCAAGTATTCACAGGCCTAGAGCATCTCATCACTAAGGCTCAGTACATTTTCATAGTTTCTGTTCCCAATGGGCAGAAACAGACAGAAGTACACAAATGCTCCATCTGCCTCTTTGGTTATTTTCCCAAGAAGGAAAGGATTGAAAACTGTAGCAACAATGTGAAGTCTCTGCTTTGGGGCAGATCTTATTGGTCTACAATACTCACTCACTACATCAATGATTTTAAGAAATTGTCTATAATGTCAAGCAAAACAATACTATTTTTATACTATTAAGGAAAAATTAAGGTGAAACATGCTGTCTTTGTTGGGGTTTCTATTGCTGTGAAGAGACACCATGACCACAGCAACTCTTATAAAGGAAAACATTTAATTGGGGCTGGTTTACAGTTTTAGAGGTTTAGTCCATTATCATCATGGTGGGAAGCATGGCAGTGTGCAGACAGACATGGTGCTGGAGAAGGAGCTGAGAGTTCTACATCTTGAATCACAGGCAGCAAGAAGAGACTGTGTGCCACACTGGGCATAGTTTGAGCATATAAGACCTCAAAGCCCGCCCCCCACAGTGACACACTTCCTCCAACAAGGCCACACCTACTCCAACAAAGACACACCTCCTAATAGTGCCACTCCCTATGGGCCAAGCATTCAAACACATGAGTTTATGGGGGCCATTCCTATTCAAACCACCACATGCGCACTCTTAGAAAAGTTACATTTAGGGCCAGGGGAGATGGCTCAGTCCTAAAGTGAGGGTCTGGGTTTGGATCCCCGGTACCCACACACCTCTAACCCTAGCACTGTGGGGATGGGAGAGATAGAAAACACAGAGCCAGGGAACTCAGTGGTCAGCTCTTGACCTTCACATGTGCACACACACACACACATACACACACACACACACACACACACACACACACACACACACACACACACACACACGTACAAGCACACTCAAAGTTTAATTTATCCCGCTTTTCAAATATACTGAGAAGTCACTCGGCATGGCTGAAAGCCAGTGGTATTCAGAACTGTCCCCTTGCCCACAGCTTCCACACTGAATACAGTGTCCATTTCTACCCAGTGGCTTCCTTTGGCGATAGTATACATCCTTCTCATAATGGGACTGGGAGGACATAAATACCAATTTCTCAAGCAAACAGCTTTTAATGGCAGACTTTCCATCTATTCATCTCACTCCCTAAATCATGCCACTGTCTGAAACATGCTCATAGTCCAACTGTGGATGACTTGATTTGGTTCAGTAGAACAACTGGACAGTCAGAGCTTCCCAAAATGTTATAAAAACAATACATTGCAAAAATCTACTAAGATGTGGGTATTTTTTCAGCTCTATCCAGAGATGCAGTGCTCTTTAGAAAATATGAAGAGAGGAAAATTTGGTAGGCAGGTTTATGTCTCGTGTTGCCTCTCCATTACCTTCTTATTTCCCCTTCGCAAACCTGGGTCACATAAGTAATTAATTTTCAATAAGCCGGATAAATGGTCTTGGCTATTATATCACTCTAATAGGTTGAGAGGACGACAGCAACGTGAGACGTCTAGGCAAATTCATTTAGTAAGGCCTTGACATTTCTCCTAAGACTTCATACATACTCTTTTACTGGATTGACAGTTCGCAGAGGCCGGCTGTGATCATGGGACTCCTAGCCTGCTTTGCAGTCAGTTCTTTGTAGGTCCAAGCTTTGTGTAAATCTGTCTCCACATGCATGCTCACACGCAAAAGGCCAGAGTAAGACATTGGGTGTCTTTCTCTGTTGCTTTTCACTTTATTGAGACAGGGCCTCATTTTGGCTAAGCGGCCTAGCCAGTGAGCTCTCGGGAGCTGCTCTCGGGAGCCACTGTTTCCGTTCCCTAAGGTGGGTGCTGGAGACTTGAACTCAGGTCCTCATGCCTGCCGAGCAAGTGCTCTTAGCCACAGAGCCATCTCCCTGGCCATGGATCCCAAGCTTGCATCCATACTGCCAATGTGACAGTACAAAAAAAAAAAAAAAAAAAAAAAAAAAAAAAAAAAAAAAAAAAAAAAAAAATTCATCTCTTGAAAAACTACAGAGAGAAAAGAAAAGCAGAGACTATTCTGAATAATAAACTCAGTGAAGAGTTCTACAATGAATAATTTGGGCCCCACTTTTTCCCTTTATGGCAAATTCTCTCCCCCTTGAATGTTTCACTACAGTCTTTGACACCCAAGCAGTGAGCCAAATGAGTGTGTCATAAAGCTCGGCGGGCCCCACCTCCTATCCCCATTC